CCCCCCACCGCCCCGCCATGGGCTTTACTGCACAACCAAGAATGATAGTCCCCTCCCTGAGCTCCCAGAGGAAGGAGGTGCTTCCCCGCGCTCAAGCCCGTGCTGGTCCAGCTCCGGAGCCCAAGTGCTCCGCCACGATGCCCGCCTCCCTGGGAGGCGCTGGTGTCCGGGCCGGGCGCCCGGTCCCTGACGCCCCTCTCTGTCCTCAGGAGTGCCACCGGGGAGGCTTGGCACAACATCATGCTCTCCTGCCTCAGCGGGAAGCCGTGTGATAAAAACTCCGGCATCCTGACTCCCGAGTGTGGCAATGAATTTGCTTATTTTTACTTCGTTTCCTTCATCTTCCTCTGCTCCTTTCTGGTGAGTCTGTGGACATGTGGGGGTGGGCTCCCCAGAACTGGCTCCCTCCTACCTAGGGGTGCGGATCTCTCTAGAGTGTGACTGTGTTGCAGACTTGCTCCCTCCACGGCTTCTGAGCCAGCCTGGGGTCAGGTTAGCCAGGGTGTCTCACCCTCAGCGCGTTGGCAGCGGGGGCTGGGTCACTCTCCGTGGAGGGAGCCGTTCTGCGCACAGCGGGTGGTTTAACAGCATCCCTGGGCTCGGCCCACTAGATGCCAGAAGCACATGCCCCCTGCCCTTCCAGCTGTGGCAACCAACAATGTCCACGGACATTGTCACGTGTCCCCTGGGGAAGAGAGGCAGAATCGCCCCTTTTGCAACTCACTGGGTGTCCTGCGGGAAAACCTAGTGGTGCTGAGAGTGTCCCAGGACCCTGTGATTGAGGTGCAGGAGTCTTCCCCCTTCTCTCGGAGGGCCGGTGCCTTCCTGTGTGCGATCAGGAGGCAAGGAAATCAGCCGCTTAAACGTTCTCTGGGGGCTTGGGGCTTTGCAAAGGATTGAATGGGTTCTCACTAGTAAAAGATGAATTTGCTGGAAGGAGGAATCTCATAGGCCCCAAGGATAAGAAACACTGCAAGAGACTGAGCCGAAGAACCAGTGAAGAAAATAAAATGGATGGATAGATAGATGAAAAAGGATGGATGGATAGATAGATAGATAGATAGATAGATAGATAGACAGACAGATAGATCAGGAACCACAGCAGCTGCCTGCTCCATCCTGATTTCTCTTTCTCTCTCACTCTCCCTGGGGCCTCATCACTGTACCCCCTTTTGTTCTCTGCTCTCCCTAGAGTAGTCACAGCACAGTCAGAACAGACACTATCCAGGGAGTTCGAGCAGAGGGTATTGAATACAGGGATTGGCTACACAGGGTTGGAAGATGAGACATACAGTGTGGAAAGCACCAGGGATTACTGACTGCAGGAATGCCAGGGATGGAGCATTAAACGGGAAAGAGCCCTGGCTGGTTTGGCGCAGTGGATAGAGCGTCAGCCTATGGACTGAAGGACCCCAGGTTCAATTCCAGTCAAGGATACATGCCCGGGTTGCAGGCTCAATCCCCAGGAGGGGGTGTGCAGGAGGCAGCCAATCAGTGATTCTCTCATCACTGATGTTTCTAACTCTCTCTCCCTCTCCCTTCCTCAATGAAATGAGTAAAAATATATAAAAGAAAAATTTTAAAAAGGAAAAGAGGGTGTTACCGACCAACCCAGCTGCCCCTGGCACCCTCCAGGGAGTGCTGACACCTGGCTGTCCGCTGCCCCTGCACAACTGCAGATGGTGCTTGTTTCAAAGTGTCACAAACTTGGTGGCTTATCACAACAGGAATTTATCCTCCCGCAGTTCTGGGAGCCACAAGTCCAATCAGGGTGTTGTCAGGGCTGTGCTCCCTCCAAGCTTCTAGGAGGGATCCCTCCTGGTCCCCTCCAGCTTCTGGTGGCCCCGGGCACCCCTTGGCTTGTGGCAGCATCCGTCCCGTCTGCCTTCATTCTCACACGGCCTCCTCTGTGTGTGCTGGTGTCCAGATGTCCCTCTGACGAGGACAGGAGTCATGCTGGATTTAGGGCCCTCCCTAATTTAGCACGACTTCATCTTAACTTGGTGACGTGTGCAAAGATCCTTTTTCCAGATAAGGCCACATTCACAGGGACCAAGTTTGGGGATTTGAACATGTCTTTTGGGGGAGACACAGTTCACCCCACAACACAGACCCTTGCAGGAAGGAGGAGTCTCCCCTTTCCTTCCCCTCCTCCCAAGTCTGGTTTCCCGAATGTGGGAGATGTTGTCTGCAGACCTCGGCCCGAGCACCAGCATCTGTCAGCAAAAGCCCAACACACCCACCCTCTTTCGGACTAGTAACCTCAACGGGGAGACCTGCCCCCTCGGTCTCACAGCCGCTGACCCAGGCGGGTCCATGGCCCAGATTCCCAGAAGAGAGAGTCTGCATGGGCCAGCGCAGCCCCTGGACAGAGGCCCCCAGTGTCCAGCCGCTGTGTGTGGGTAAAGGGACGAGATCCTATAACGCAGCCCATCTGGGAAGGGCAGGGACCTAGAAAAGATCTACAACACTTGACCACCCGCCCCTGAGGGCAGGAATTTTGTTCACTGCTGTGTAACCAGTGCCTAGGATAGTGACTGGCACACAGCAGGTGCTCAATCAGTATCATGAAATGATTCATTAAAAATAGAGTCATTAAAGTTAGGGGCCTCTAGAATTACATATCATTTATTAAACGCCTATTATGTTTCCATCTAAACATTTGTGTAGTGCCTACTATGTGCCAGACCTTATGCTAGGCACTGGGGTAATAGGAGAGAACACAGGGGGGTGATGGGCAGAGAAGTCAGCACAGATAGCAGCACAATCCATCTGTGCTTTGATGAGGGAAATTCGGACTGAAGGGAGATTTCAAAGAGTGGCCCACAAGGATGGTGAGCAGGAGTTAGACTACATATTCATCAAATTGGTTGCAAGTAACATAAACTGACTTAAGTAAAATATGCAGCTCACTAACTTGTGTAACTGAAAAGTCCAGATGAGGCTAGATCCAGGCAAGTGGACCCCGTCATCTTTGCTGTTCTCATACTTTCTCCTTGTAGAGGCAAGATGGCTGCCAGAGTGCCAGCAAAACTCCCAGGGAAGGCTCTCATTGGCCACCTTGGGTCATGTGCCCTTCCCTAGCCAATGGCGTCTAAGGAGCCATGAGATGGGGTCAGCAACACCCAACCACAGCATTTAAGTGTAAAGGGGAAGTTACCCACTAAAGAAGCAACTTTTGCAAAGGCCTGGAGACAAAACTGTTGCAAGCTCCCCATGTGTTAAGGGCCAGAAAAACACCTGAAAAGGAGCTACCAGATGCAGATGAGAGCAGGAAAACTCATCCATCCATCCATCCATCCATCCTAGAAACACAGGGTGGGGCAAAAGTAGGTGTACAGTTGTTTGTATGGAAAAGCATACAGTCACTAATAAATAATTACTAATAAATAATAAAACCCACAAATAACCTGTTTCATATATTCACAACTGTAAGTACTTTTGCCCCCGCCCATATTTGCTGAGTCCTTACTGTGTGCTGGGGCTGGGAACACAAGGTTCTTGCCCACGTGGGGCCTTCACTCTGGCCTTGTTGGAGGCCAGGTATGGGAGGGCTTAGGGTGATGGCAGTTCCCTTGCTTTTGGCCATCATTTCACACAGCCTCTCTCACCTCTCTCTCCAACTTCCTGTCTCCGTCTTCCCCTGTCTCCCGCCCACATCTCCATTTCTCCATCTCCCTGTCTGGGCTCCTTGTGTGAGCATGTGCCTTTCCTCCCTATCCCTTCCCCGCTTCTCTTTCTCTGTCTGTCTCCCTTTCTCCATCTCATCTCCCTCCCTCTGGACCTCTGTGTAAATGTGTTTGGATGGGTCTCGCTCTCCCCCACTCCCTCTTGGCCCCCGGGGTTCCCACAGATGCTGAACCTCTTTGTTGCTGTCATCATGGACAACTTTGAGTACCTCACTCGGGATTCCTCCATCCTGGGTCCTCACCACCTGGATGAGTACGTGCGTGTCTGGGCTGAGTACGACCCCGCAGCGTGGTAAGGAGTCACCCCGAATCCTGCAGCCACACTGCCCACCTTTCTCAGGCACTGGAGCACAGGTTAGGGCAGGCTCCAGTTCTGGGGGCGTTGAGTCCCTGAGGAGCCAGCAGGAATCTCAGGGGAATCAGTCTAGCGGAAGGAAATGAGAATTAGCACCCTCACAGACCCCGGCTTCAAAGCTTTGGGCACCACCCCTGCCCAAGCCCCAGGCTTTCTGGGAGATGAGGGAGGGAGTCAGCCGTGAGGAGCTGGTCTCCTATGAGTCTCTCCTCCCCTCACTGTGAGGCCTCCAGATGGTGAGGACAAGTTTGCCAGGCCCAGGGGGGAAGCCAGAGGCCTCTCAGCCTAGATTCTCCTGGGAGTGTGGGGGTGGGACCCGGCCTAGCTCCCTTGGCACATGAGATTGGCTGCGAGGTCAGAGTGGCAGAACCCAGCGTCTGCTGGGATCACAGGACCCTGGAGAAGGTGGTCACCCAGCCAGGGGAGAGGACACACAGCTTCAGGGGCCTTTGCATCTTCACGGTCACAAAGGGAGTGAGCTCTCCCATCTCCGTGGGCACCAGGGGCCTCTCCCTGGCTGCCAGGCAGTGGTTTCGGAGGGTGAGCTCCATCCTGTGCACGGGTGCTGAGCGCCTGCTCAACACCAAGCACCGCAGGACACTCAGAGGCACCCTCCTGATGCTCAGAGCCCATTAGCCGCCGACAGGCGATCCTAGTTCAGGCTGAGTGTGGGGCCTGAGTGCTGGAGGGGAGGCCTTACAGGGAAGGTGGGAGGAGCCATCCTTGCCATCCCTGCAGCCCCGCAAGTCCTCCGTGACCGTGACCGAGAGGCTGGGTGAGCCGCGGGTCTGAGACTGGATTTTCAGCTGGTTCCTAACTCTTCCTGTTTTGATTTTAGGTCACAGCAGTTGGATGCTGTCCCCCTGTCCTCTATTCCACGAGCCCCCTCCTCCCAGTGTAGCCCATGTAGATCGTGGAGGAGGGTGGTTCAGAGAGAGCCCTAGAGAGGGTGCCCTGAGCCTGGAGCTCTGGGCTCACCCCAACCGAAACCCTCTGCCCCCTGGGGCCTGTGAGTGACTGATCCCAAGCCTCTCCCCCACCCCTTCAAGCCAGGGGTCCCCAAGTCCCTGACATTGTGACCTCACTGTGTGCACAGGAAGGCAGCGTGAAGGCAGCTTGGCCCCTGTGCCTCCACTAATCCCCTCTCTTCTCCTTTCAGCGGTCGGATTCATTATAAGGATATGTACAGTTTATTGCGCGTAATATCTCCCCCTCTCGGCTTAGGCAAGAAATGTCCTCATAGGGTTGCTTGCAAGGTTTGATTTCCACTAAAACCTGCTAGCATCCATGGAATGAGTGTGGCTTGGGGTTCTTCAATATATATATTTCACATATATATATATATATCTCCAAAAAACAGAGCCATCTCTCTTTCTCTTGCATTAAACTAGAAAACTCTCTTAGCCAACAGAATGCAGTCACTAGACTTGATGAAGCATGGAACATACCTCTCTGTTCCCTTCAGCCATTCTGCTTGCTCTTAGCTGAAGCTGCCCATCCTAGGGTCTCAACGGCACCCCAAATCAGACATCCCGGGGGATCGTAACTTGGCTCTCCTCCCCCCCACCATTACCTCCACTCTCTCCCCCTCCACCCTTTGCCTCCCGGAGCCCCCAGCCCTCCCACCACTCCTCCTCCCCATCTAGGCCCCCTCAGAGACCAGCCTCAGCCAAACCAGAGAACTTGACCCAGTTTTTAAAATAACATCCAACGAAAGTATTGTTTCAGGCCCTCCAAAAGGAGGAACCCCCCCCCCCCCCCCCCCCCCCCCCCCCCCT